ATATATATATATATATATATATATATATATGTTTTATATATATATATATATATATATATATATATATATATATATATATATACACACACACATACATACACACACACACACACACACACACACACACACGCTATGGGTTTGATGTGAAGATTTAAAGTTCCTTGTACAATATTTGGTCTGCTAGCTATGACTGCACTCAATAGTATTAAGATCTCAAGATCTTTGTCCTTTGTGGATTGTGGGGGTTGCTTTCCTATGCCCTTAAGGTTATCATGCTCACTATGTTAGAATTCCAAGTCAGTGAATCTGAAATACCCAAGGCAGACTTGGTTTTCATAGCTTATTTCTGTTCCTCAGATGTCTTTGTGGGACTCTCCTCTTTCAAGAGAGGGGTACTGAGAAGCAGAGATTATGACTGCTGTGGTTTTTGCAGTTGGACCTTTGGTAAGTCATTCTCCTCCATTTCTGATTGCTCTGTTGTTTTCAGAGCTTGTCTGTTTTCTAAATCACATTCTTTTCTTACTTACGCTCTTTATAGGAAGAGAACCAAACTGTATGACCCATTAAAATTGGGTCAATCTTAGCAAAAGTTATAATCTTTAAAAGGATTCATTATACTTATTGAACCAAATTTAAGGACATTGGGCCTTTCCAAAAATATTTGGGCTATGTTTAGATATGATAACTAGTCTTGGCAGTTCACTTTTGAGGTTAAATTTGTACTGTTCCCAGAAAATTTCACGTATTTATGGAGTAGTATAACAGAATATTTTTCAATTGGGGAAATTTTGGGAAACAAAATATGTGGACACACACACTTGAGTCATGTGTCCACTCTCAGTGATCTCCCACTTTCTACCCATAAAGAAGTAGTCAACCAGAGAAAAGGTATGTAAGACACAGTGGTTGGCTATAAAGAGTTCACAGTCTCACTGAGGGTATAGCATTAAAAAAAAGTGGTTATGTAATTTGGGTGAATGATTGTTGTGTAGCAATATGATAAAAGACGAGTGCTATACAAGTAAAGAAATGAAGTATTAGTGTTATCTAAATTGGCCGTGGAAACTTATGAGGATAATTAGATTTAAGCTTGTACCGAATTACAAGTATTTGTATTAAATAGTTGTAAAGTATTCATGAGGATTCAGGTGAGAAGGGTATTTAAGGGCAAGACTCTGATGCAAAGAACAGTGGGTGAAATAGTGATTCAAGTTGAAAAAGTTAGGGCCAGAGATGAGATATTTAAGCTGAGTTTTTAAATGTGTCCCTGAAGACATTTAAATGTGTGTGTGTGTGTGTGTGTGTGTGCTTAAGTGTGTTTAGGTTGGGTATTAATATGATAAAAACTAGTTGAGCAATGACTTTCTGAAGTAAGAGATTCAGAAGAAAGGTAGTACAACAAATATAATTTATTATAATAATGGTTGTTTATTCTTTCTAGCCAGACTATATAACATGTAAACAATACTTAAAAGATGCCTTTGGAAATATAAATTAAAACAAAATGTTTCACTTGATCAGTAGGTCCAATTGTATTTGTGTAGTAATAGATTATGGCCTGATCATACCCATCCATATTACCAGGGTTGAAATTCACATCATCACAGCTTTTTAAAAGCTGAATGTTTATGGATTTTTTTGATAAGAACTTGAGAGAAGGTAACTATGATAGCTTTTTTCCCAATAAAACTTAAGCAGATATTTTTATTACCCATAATTTTTAAAAATGACACAAAACTCTAAAATGATAAATCTAAATAGGTACTACTAGAAGATACAGTAAACTTTAATTTTATTTATAGAAATCACTTCCTTATTGGAATACAGTTTCTAAAGTTTGGAAGAAGACACTATTATGAGAGTTCCCTGGAATATTTCCTGAGTATTCCTGACATGTGCCCCCTTAGACACTGTACTGATATTTCAGTTGTAGAAAACAGATGGTGTTGATAGGTTTTGGAAATTTTCTTGAGCAAGGTAGATACATTCTGAAAAATTGATCTCATCCTCATATGAAAAAAGAGAGGTATGCAGTAGGTAGGTGAAGGCCTTTATTTTAAGTGTGTTTTTGTTTTTGATGGGTTCTTTTTCAGTCCCCTACTTTTAAAAAAACATGGAGTTTTATCTTTCTGGTTTGCATATTTGTCATTGCCTCAAAGAAGATGAAGGAGGATAATGATTGGATATTACTACAGGACCTTAGTTTCAGCCCTGTTTAAAACAGTAAAAGAGGTTGTTCCATACACACCACATCCACAGTGGACTGGGGGTACCTGCTGGGGCTCTGTTCTAGGTCATAGGCAGCCTTTCGCTGAGTGATCTTTCCCGTGTTCCTTCAGAGTTCTGAAGTTACCCAGGCAGATGGAGATCTTCACCTTCTGATGGAAGAAGCAGAGCTGGTGAAGGTAATGGCAGCATCATTTGTAAGGGGCATAAAGAGAAAGTACATTTTACTCCCCCTAATTCTTGACAATCCCAGCTCCTTATAAGTTCATAGCAAATATTTGATAGGTGTTTTAACCCTAGGGGTGGTAGCATCAATGTGATAAATTTCCTTTCTTTGAAGTAGTAGCAGTTTTAAATTTGACAGATGGTCACATCATAATTGCTCATGATAAATTATTCTACCATTAAATAGTCTGATTTTTTTTCTTTTCTAGTAAGACCCAATGTAATGAAAAATATCAAGAATATATTAACATCAGTGGCAGTAGTCTTACAATGATTTTAAATTGGTTTAGATTTTTTTCATATTTGTTAGGCTTACTTACTAATTTGTAAGTATATTAACTACCTGATTTTTCCAGAAAAAGTCAAAATAAGATTTATTATTAAAAAATTATCCAACACTTAGAAATAAGGCAAAGTATGGCCTTTTAGTGTCCTATGAGACCATTGTCTAACAAGCTTAAGGGTCACCTGAGGCAGCAGGAAAAGGCTGCTTTACTTGACTTACTATTTACTATTAATATTCAAACCCTCAAAGTTGTATGTAATCTTGTAGAATATTGAAACGTTCCAAATTATTTCTACCTAGGAGAAAATGTAATCACCAAAGTTATAGTTTTATTGCCCTGTAGGACATTAACTATGTTTTTGTCTAATTTTATAATCTTTATCTATCACTCTCTTTATCATTGTGTACATACATCTGTTTCTTTTAAACTAGTTTTGTTAACAGTTTAACTACATTTTTGATATGTGTTCACTATGCTTTTAGGATAATTATGTTCTTGCTTTTGAAATTTTTACTTTGAAAGTTGGTTCTATCCCAAAAATGTTTCAGTTTTTCTTTTTATTTCTATGATAAGATACATACTGAGACTCAATCTTGTTGTATTTCTGAAATATAACACTGAGCCAATGGATCTTAAACTTGTCCTTTAGCATATAACCGTTTATACTTCAAAAATTGCAGGTAAGATATTCATAGTTTCAGACTTTGGATCTTGAACCTTAGGAAAACACCATCCTTTTTGATATGGTGAACAATTTGTATGTTTTATTTTTCTTCTTCTGATAGAGAGGGGACTCTGGCAGATCAGTTTTGTCTGATTAATTCTGAATTCTTTTTGTAAGTACTGAACCTTGCTTTGTTTAATTTTAAATGAAACCAGTATTGTGATGACATCAACAAGTCATCAACCTATTTTTGTTTTACTGGTTTTTATTGGCATTTATTTTGTTTTGTTTATAGAATTGCTATTTTTGACATTTTTAAAATACTTTTTTCCTAGTATAGTTCTTCAAAAGGAGAAATTTCAGTGCTAAACATTTTTTATCTGATAGGTACATTTTTTTTTTTCAAACATCTAACAAACGGTTTAAGACTGATGAGGGAATTATATTCACATGATTATTATAATCAGACCAAAAGGAAAGAGTCATGATATTTTCTGACTCTCATATAAGGTTGAGGTACGTAAGATAGAAACCAGTAAAATCATAGATAGTTTAATAGTAAAACCAGTAAAATCATAGATAATTTAATAGTGCCTGTATATAGGTTGATATTTTAGGTTAGTAATTTAATTCCCTAACAACAAACAACTAGAGAAGCATAACTTCAAGATGAAGAGGAGATAATAAGAACCTTTAAAATCAAATGAGCTTTATGATTTTATAGTGACATAAGAATTAATATAATTAGTCCTATTCAATTGAAGGCCAAACTTTTCAGTATTATTGGCTCATTGCAATGAGAGATACTTCATACCAAATGAAGGAGGACATAGGGTTATTACATCATTTTGAGGGAGAGTGGAGTTCAGCAGAAATTTTAATGAAATCAATGATTTGATAGGTGCAAATCAAAGTGGGCTTTGTATAAAGACTGAAAAGTGGAACTGGTGTTCTCTCTCCTCAGAAAGTATAAACTTAAGATAAATGTAAAATGTGTTCAGTATCCCATGGTGTGAGCTCTTTATCTGGGTTGGAAATCAAAACTGCATCAAAGTCACTTTCATTTTTTTCTGACATGATTTCAAACTGTAAATTTTCTGACAGTCTAAATTATAAACGTTTCTTAGTAAAAAGCAGTAGTTATTCAAAGAAGGGGCCATTTGACACTTTACACCTAGAGTGACTATGCGAGAAATATTTCTGCTTAACTTTGCTGCTGGTTTTCTCTGTGTCTCTTATTCTAACTTGACAAATGGGAAGGCAGAATTTTATTTTACTTTCTCAGCCTGAGATGATTTTTACTTTATCAAAATTTATCAGGAAGAAATCTTTACGTCAACCTAACTTAATGCAGTTTTCTCAGAATCTTTAGGATAAAGAACATCATAAGGCATTTAAAGTTGCTTCTATTCCTTGATTTGATAGCTCATTTTTTTTAGTATTGAATAATATTCCATTGTCCAGATGTACCAATTTATTCATCCATTCACATACTGAAGAATATCTTGGTGGCTTTCAGATTTTGATAATGATGAATAAAGTTCCTATAAATGTCCATGTGGAGATTTTTGCTTGGATATTAAGTTTTCAGTTCATTTGGGTATATACTAAGAACTGGGACTGCTGGATTGTGTGGGAAGAATATACTTAATTTTGTAAGAGACTTTTAAACTGTGTTACAATGCCATTTTGCAGTTCTGCCAGCAATGAGTGAGAGTGTCTGTTGCTCCACAGCCTGGCCAGCATTTGGTGTTGTCAGGGGTCTGGGTTCTGGCATCTAATACATTCATAGTGGTATTTCAATATAGTTTTAATTTGCAGTTCTGTAATGACATATGATGTGGAGCATCTTTTCATATATGTACTTGCAATCCGTTTATCTTCCTTGGTTAAGTGGCTATTCAGGTATTCTGTCCATTTTTTTGACAGGGTTGTTCATTTTCTTATTGTTGAGTTTTAAAAGAGTTCTTTGTATATTTTAAATGTCAGTCCAAAGGCCTATCTTCTTTTTCAGTCTACTTTGCTGTTTCCTCCTGACTCTAATACTCACCCCATTTTATATGCAATTATCTGGATTATAAAATATATCTTTTATTAAGTAATATTCTATGGATTGGAATTGGAAGGAAGTTGACATAAAATAGGTTTGGAGGGAGAAGAGATGATTTGGATGCAAACTACCAGAATTACTAAATATTTTAAAGGTTTTCTAGGGAAGAAGAAAACCATATTGTTCAACTCCAGGTATTAAGGTAGGATCAATATTTAGTTAGAGTTTATAAAAAGCTAGACTTGAAGTGGTCTGAAAAAATCCTGCTATCAGGTAAGACACCAAAGCTGGAATAGGCTTCCTCTTCTGGTTTTAGGTTCTTGTCATGTATTCTGTAAAGGTTGAACAAGTTGACCTATATAATCATTTGGTGATTCTGATTGTGAGAGTTCTTCCCCAGTTTCATACTTACTGTCTGCTTAACAAGTCTAATTCTATGATCCCTGGGTAATTGCTTTGTATTTATTTTAGGAATCAGTGACATTTAAGGATGTGGCAATAGACTTCACGTTGGAGGAATGGAGGTTGATGGACCCTACACAGAGGAATCTGCACAAAGATGTGATGCTAGAGAATTATAGAAATCTGGTCTCGCTGGGTAAGGCTAACTTCTATGTTAATGGCTTTGCCTATTTGACCAGGTTTTCCAGAAATATTAAGCCTCTAAAGTTTTTACTGAGTGTGGCTTAGAGTTTAGGTGTCAAAAATCTCTTCATCTCAGGGGCACGTTGTTGTAATTCATGCTGTTCCTCACTTTTAACTAAATGGTATGCTCATTGTAGATAAAGAAATATTTGTTTCTTTGGAACCTTGGCGATTGTTGACAGTCCTACAGATATAGGATCAAAGTTTTTCCTGATCATTGCCATAAATTGGAATTGTTATCATTGCCTCTAGAAAGGAAGGAACAAATGCGTTCATTTTCTTTCTAAACTTAGATTATTCTCATGATCTGTTATCCCACGAACCTAGATCATAGTGTTGAGCTCTCCTTGAGGTCATCGTAATGCTCTAGAATAAACTATATGACTGAACATTCTACTATGAGAGGTTTATTCTATAACTGTGCTATCCACTATGGTAGATACTAGCCACTTATGTTTTTGTTTTAATTAGAGCTTTGTGGTTATACATAGTAGTTGAGTTCATTCCAACAAACTCCTCATACATGCATGGAAATTGATTTCAGTTCATGATCCCCACATTTTCCTCCTCCTTTCCTGCTTCCCCTCCCCCTCCCTTTTTCCTTCCTCTAATCTACTAAATTTCCTTTCACTTATCTATTAATTTGTATTTGATTGGTTCCTTTTGTAATCTTATCCTTCCCTCCTCTTTTCTTTATTTTACTCTAGCTTCCGTATGTGAGTTTGGCTAATTTCACTTAGCATGATATTCTCCATTTCCATTTATTTACCAACAAATGCCATAATTTCATTCCTTTAAATGGCTGAGTAGAACTTCAGTGTGTGTGTGTGTGTGTGTGTGTGTGTGTGTATGTGTGTGTGTGTGTTGTGTGTATGTGTGTTTATCACAGTTTCTTAATCCATTCATCAGTTGATGGACATCTGGGTTGATTTCATAATTTAGCTACTGTGAATTGTGCTACTATAAACATTGATGTGGCTGAGCTGCCATAGCATACTGATTTTAGATCTTTTGGGAAAATATCCAGAAGTGGAATAGCTGGATCATATGGTGGTTCCATACCTAGTTTTGAGGAATCTCCAAACTGCTTTCTAGGGTGGTTGTACTAGTTTGAAATCCTACCAACAATGTACAAATGTTCCTTTTTCCCCACAACCTTACCAGCATTTATTGTTGTTTTTATTCTTGATCATTGCCATTATGATTGGAGTGAGATTAAATCTTAGAGTAGTTTTGATTTGCATTTCCCTGATTGCTGGAGATGCTGAATATTTTTTCATGTATTTATTGGCCTTTTGTGTTACTTCTGTTGAGATGTTTGTGTTTAATTCTTTTGCCAATTTGTTGATTGGGCCATTTGGTTTTTTGATGTTAAGATTTTTGAGTTCTTTGTGTATTCTGGATATTAATCCTTATCAAAGGTAACTTGCCAAGATTTTCTCCCATTCTGTAAGCTCCTTTCACTTTCTTAATTGTTTCCTTAGCCGTGCAGAAGAAGCTTTTTAGTTTAATGGCAATCCTACTTATTGATTGTTGGTTTTATTTCTTGTGTACTTATGGTTTTTGAACACTGAAATTTGGCTGGTCCATCTAAAGAACTGAATTTTATTTTTTCATTTATTTTAATTTCATTTCAAATTTAAATAGCCACAAATGACTAATCAGCAATATTAGTACAGTTCTAAAGCTTCTTGTAGTGGTCCTTACAGAGATTGAGACAAAAATTGGTAATAATTCTTGATTGTAGCTTCAATTAAATCCTATTCATTTTTCTCTGAACAGGGCTTGCAGTTTCCAAACCAGACATGATAACTCATTTGGAGAATGGGAAAGGACCATGGGCAGTGGTGAGAGAAATTTCAAGAACTCCCTATCCAGGTAAGTTAATCAGAACCAAGAAACTGGGGTTTATTTCAAATAACAAATCATAGGGAGAAATTCCACAGAACATAGGAAATATTTGGGGTGATATTTCTTCAAAGCTGCCTCAAAGGAAAAGATCCGGTGTCCCATTCTTCTCGCTGCCCATTTCTGTTGCCCACTGTTTTCTCTTCCCCTCTCTCTGTCCTCTCCCTTTGGTTCATTGTACCATCCTACTTTGCTTTCTTGGCGGGGCATACTTTTTACAAATATTCCTTTATTCTTTTTTATTCAAACATTCACAACATAACCCTTTATGTTCTATCCTTTCCAGTTAACTTTTTGTTTTTCTGATTTGTTTTATCATAATATGACATTTATTTTTTCATTTTTTCCTAAAAATGCTTCCTTAAGAGGGTCACCACTGATTTCTTTTAAAATAAACCCATTTACTTGTAATTTAACATTGTTCAACTGCAAGGCTACTGAACCTATTCGAAGACTGTCTTCCTTTTTTCCAGGTTCTTAACTCCTTGAGAATATGAACAAGGAACCAGTTGAGAATCAAAATATAGAATTCATTTATTTAATCAGTGTTTATGATATATCTGTATGCTGTGAACTAGGTTAAATACTAGGACAATAGCAGTGAATAAGATGTAATAGGTCCCTACCCTTATGACAATTGAATTTCAACAAATAAAAACAAGTTAATTAGTGGTTGGAGTACCTGTTAGCTACAAGATAAATGAGGAGATATGGGATAGTAACCTGGAAAGGGATGAGGGTGCCTGCTTTGGATAGGGTGGTCAGGGGAGGCCTCTGAGGATGTGGCATTTAATATGAGACCTGAAAGGTAAGAAGAAGCCAGCCAGAGGAAGAGAAGAGAATCATTTCAGGAAAAAAAAAATCAGCAGTGCAGAGGACCTGATATGGAAAAGAACATAATATGTTCTGGAAATCAAAAGGAAGTCTCTGAGACTGTAGCGTAAGTGAAGGGGGACTGCTACAAAATGAGATTAGAGGTAGGGTCAGGAGGCAGTCTGCAGGGCATGGCAGATAATGGTAATGAGTTTGGATGTTAACCTAAGGGAGCTGAGTGCAAAAGTATGAAAAGAATTTTTAAAATATTTGCTTTTTAGATGTCGGTGGACACAATAACCTTTATTTTATTTTTAATTGGTGCTGAAGATTGAACCCAGTGCCTGAGGCATGCTAGGTGAGCACTGTACCACTGATCCACAACTCCAGTGCCTTGAAAATATTTTAATTAAGAATTTTTAAGAAACTAATGCTGTTAATGAAGATTTAACTTAAGGTCATAAAGCCACCAGGAAGTTAAGAGGTTGTAACAACAGTCTAGACAAGAGAAGACAGTACCTTTATTACAGTGATGGCAGTGGACATGGAAAAAATTAAATGGAAATTAGTTTGAGTATTCATTTTTTTATAACTCACATATATACTACATATATTCTGTATTAAATAATACTATTTATATTTAAATGAGTCAGTAAAAGTTAGTGGAGATAGATGAGTATCTAAAGGAGATTATTTTTTTTCTTTATGAAGAGGGAGAGAACAATGATGCAACAGTTAGGGGAAAATATAGAATGAAGAACAGCATTTTTGTTGTATTTTTTGGGATGGAAGTTTCCACAAAATGGTTCAGTGTTCATAGAAATGCCTCAATCACTAAAGGACTGAAGGGTTTGAGAAGGTTTAAGTGGATAAAGTCTAGACTGAAAAGGAGGGATTGTCAAGGAGATCAACTCCTGTCTTGTAACACTGAGAAAGATTGAGAAGATGGGCACAGATGTTGGTCAGCTGGTAGTGGAAAGGTTAAAGCATTCTGTTATTAGGGCTTCCATATTCTGTATAATATGAGGCAAGGTTAAGAGCTTATAGTAAAGAAAGAAAGAGTTGAGAGTTTTTATTTTTTATGGAATATAGAATTCACAGAATTCATCTGAGCCTGAGAAAGGTATTTAATTACAACTTCTATTAATCTTTAATACTTACCAGAACTATTCCTATTCCCTATTTCTTTTGTTTCAGTTTAGAAAATTATGTTTATCTAGTAATTGGTCCATTTAATCTAAAGTTTTAATTTCTTGGTATTAATCTCTGTCCTCTGATTATCTTTTAAACATCTATATAGATCTGAAGTAACATCCCCCTTTTCATTCCCGATAATAATTTTTGGGTGTTCTTCTATCTTTATCTTTATCAGTCTTTCCAGGGTTTATTAATCTTATGTGGCTTTAAGAAACCGTTCTTTTTTTCCTTCTTCTGTGTTTGATCTCTTGTTTCATTACTTTCTGTTCTTTGTTATTTCATTACTTTTACCTCCTTAAGGTTTAATTTATGGATTTTTGCTAATTCTTGAATGGGATACTTACATCATTGATTCTAGCCATTCTTTTTTTCTAATGGTGTATTTAGGTTTATAAGGACTATATGACACATTTTTATATATAACATCTTCATATTAATGAGTTCAAAGTATTTGGTGATTTGTGTTGTGATATCTTTGACCCTTGGGTTATTTTTAATTGTTTTTTTTTAATTTATGCTGAGGATTTTCTAAAGATAATCTTTGTTATCTTTAATTCTACTATGGTCAGAGGATATCCTCTCTTATGATTTGAATCTGTAAAAACAAGTTGTAAGATTACTTCCGAAAGAATTATTAAAAATGAATTTTTGACAAACCATTAGAAATGTTCTTAGAACCCATAATAAATTTGTGAATGTTATCCTTGGTTAAATAATAATTTTCACTGTTTGAAACATCAGTAACTATAAATACTAATTTTGACTAATTTTTTGTTCAACTTTTGGAAAATTAGTATCTTCTTCCATTAAGTTCTATTAAAAGGTATGTACTAAGACTTAAATAAACACTTTGCCAGGGAAATTTGAGAGAAAACCCTCACAACAAAAACAATAATGAGAACAAATAAAATGGGTGGTTGGGAAGAGATGTGTGATTTTTGGAGCAAATGAGAAGCAAGGAAAGAGAATGCTCTTTAAAGAAATTGGCTCTAAAGGGAAGGCGGAAAGGGAGAAGTATTTGAGAGACTTAGAATCTAAGGAGGGTTTTGAGTGATTTTTTAATAGGAAAAAAATGTCATTGAATTTGTGAGTCTTTGATTCTTTGTACAACTACCCTCCCTTAACCATACCTTCATCTTCCTAGAAAGCAAGGTCAATTGGAAAGCAGTTAAAACCATATATTAATTATAAGCCCCTTTCACTTTTATTATCATGTTTGGTGAATTTTCCATAAGCTTAAGAAATAGGAAGTTACTTGTTTCTTCTCTTTTTTCCCCTGGACATGGAAATCAAACCTGCAGTCAAGAATGCTATACTTACAGAGGATATTTTTGAAGAAGATTTATTACAGGAAACTGTTGTAGAGAAACTCACAGAGAATGGTCTGTGGGATTCCACAAAGGGAGGATTATGGAAATGGAATGACAAAATATTGAAATTGCAAAATAGTGAGAAGAGTCATCTGAGTCAAAGAAGAGTAACACACAAGAAAATTTCCACTGATCAAAGAGGCTTTAGATTTGGGTCTGTTCTTTTCCTAGAACCAGGAATTATCACAGAAGAGCCCCATGGCAAATGCAAAATACATGAGGAAAACTTCACAGAGAATTTAGATTTGATTACAGATACTCATTTGGGAAAGATAATTTGCAAGAATATGAAAGGCAACAAAACTATAAACCAGACTTCAGAATTTAGTTTAGGGGAAAAATCCAGTAATAAAGAAAAACCATATAAATGTAGTACATGTGAAAAGGCCTTTCGTTATAGATCATTACTCATTCAGCATCAGAGAACTCACACTAAAGAAAAACCTTATGAATGTAATGAATGTGGGAAAGCGTTCAGCCAGCCTTCATATCTTAATCAACATAAAAAAATTCACACTGGAGAAAAACCCTATAAATGTAATGAATGTGGAAAAGCTTTCATTGCTTCATCTTCACTTATGGTACATCAAAGAATTCATACTAAGGAGAAACCTTATCAATGCAATATCTGTGGAAAATCCTTTAGCCAGTGTGCCCGCCTAAATCAGCATCAGAGAATTCAAACTGGAGAGAAGCCCTATAAATGCAGTGAATGTGGGAAAGCATTTAGTGACAAATCAAAACTTGCAAGACATCAGGAAACTCATAATGGTGAAAAACCCTACAAATGTAATGATTGTGGGAAAGCTTTTAGGAATAAGTCATATCTTAGTGTACACCAGAAGACCCATACTGAGGAGAAACCTTACAAATGCAATGAGTGTGGGAAATCTTTTAAAAATACCACAGTTTTTAATGTTCATCAGCGAATTCATACTGGAGAGAAACCCTTTAGATGTAATGAATGTGGGAAAGCCTATAGAAGTAATTCAAGCCTTATTGTACATATCAGAACTCATACAGGGGAAAAACCCTATGAATGTAATGAATGTGGGAAAGCATTCAACCGCATAGCAAATTTCACAGAACATCAGAGAATTCATACAGGAGAGAAACCCTATAAATGTAATGAATGTGGAAAAGCATTTATTAATTATTCATGCCTTACTGTACATCACCGGATGCATACAGGAGAGAAACCTTATAAGTGTGATGAATGTGGAAAGGCCTTCATGCGTTCTTCATCTTTAATTATACATCAGCGTATTCATACTGAAGAGAAACCTTATCTATGTAATGAATGTGGGGAATCCTTCAGAATAAAATCACACTTAACTGTACATCAGAGGATCCATACTGGGGAGAAACCATATAAATGTACTGACTGTGACAGAGCATTCACCAAAATGGTAAATCTCAAGGAGCATCAGAAAATTCATACAGGAGTGAAACCCTATAAATGTTATGATTGTGGAAAGTCCTTCAGGACAAAATCATACCTTATTGTGCATCAAAGGACACATACTGGAGAAAAACCATATAAATGTAATGAATGTGAGAAAGCTTTCACTAATACATCACAGCTTACTGTGCATCAAAGAAGGCACACTGGAGAGAAACCCTATAAATGTAATGAATGTGGGAAGGTTTTCACAAGTAACTCAGGCTTTAACACTCATCAGCGAACACATACTGGAGAGAAACCATTCAAATGCAATGATTGTGGAAAAGCATTTAGCCAGATGGTGCATGTCACAGAGCATCAGAAAATCCATAGTGGAGAAAAGCCCTATAAGTGTGATGTCTGTGGAAAAGCCTTCAGGAGAGGTTCATACCTCACAGTGCACTGGAGAACACATACTGGTGAAAAGCCCTATACTTGTAAGGAATGTGGTAAAGGTTGTATTACTCTATCACAGCTAACTCTACATCAGAGAATTCATACTGGGGAAAGGCCTTACAAATGTGAAGAATGTGGAAAAGCCTTCAGAACTAACTCAGATTTCACTGTACATCTGAGAATGCATACTGGAGAAAAACCCTATAAATGTAATGAATGTGGAAAAGCCTTTAGGAGTAGTTCAAGCCTTACTGTACATCAAAGAATTCATCAGAGAGAAACTCAGTTAATTTAGAGAACAATAAATTGTTGATCCAGATGTCAGCTCCATAATAAGAATCTTATAAACTATATTTTATGAATGTAGAAAAATCTTCAGTAGAAATTCATGGAAAATATACTCTGAAGAGACACTCTAAATATAATGAATGTGGAAAAAGCATTTAGTCATATTAAATCTTAGAAGTTAAAAGAAATTCACACTAGAAAAAAACAGTGGACAAATAAAAACCTTCATGCAGATTTCATACTTTTTTTGGTATCTATTTGACTATTTTATGGGTTTTTCTGCTTTTCTTATAACATAGAGGTGCTTTTTATATGCTTTTGATATTAATTCCTTGCCATGGGTGTACAAATGTTTTTCTCAACTTACAAATTATACTTTTCTACACAGGAAAGATACAGCATTTTAATTTTTATAGTAAAATATATCTTTTTAAGTTCTCAATTTACTTTTTTAATTAAAAGGCGTATCCTTAATCCCTGCTTTGTACATAATCTTCTAAATTTGTTTCCAGGATTTTGACATTTTTTTAACTTAACATTTAATCTAGATGAATTAAACATCTGGATTGAAAGACTTAGAAGAGCAATTCCAAAAGGCCACTAAACTATAGAAAAATTTAATCCTAACTAGCACTCAGGGAGATGCATATTTAAGCCACATTGGGATGAAAACTTCCACTTCATGGATTTGACAAAATTTAACCTTTTCTTAGCTAGTGGGGACTCTGACTCAGAGACGAATGCAGCTACAGTGCATAAGAACACAAATAAAGATGTTTGTTGAAGTATTGTTTTAGAAGGTAAAAAAGAAGCCCCAACTAGAAGCATACTGCCAATTAATAGGGAGATGGTTGGATATATGTGACATATATATATATATATATATATATATATATATATATATTGGAACAGTATGAGAATAATTTTTAAAATGTGTTATATGAACTGACTTCAAGATTTTTTCACAATGTTTAGTTTAAATAATTGCTTTGCAACAGATGTATATATAAAAGACTTCATTTACATTGAAGTAATGTCTACATGTATTGTATAATGATGTGTGTGATTATATGTGCATAAAGAATAAAAACCAGATTGTCAATATTGGTAACCTTGAAAGGAGGGAGAAAAGGAGAAGCGGGAATAGGGACATGGAGAAAAAAATAGAAAATGTAAATGTAGCATGTATGATATAAAACTATCTGTGTAAGATGACATATTTATGTGACCACCAGAAAGTGAATGAAGAGATGGTTTCCAAAAAGTTAATGAGAATTGCTCTAGAGTTGGTATCATTTGTTTGCAATTTTTTATTTGATTTTCTATAATTTTCTTTGCAATGAGCATGTGATATCTATATAAAAAGGAAAAATCTTTTTTTCTTGTGAAATTGATCAATTGGACCCCTAAATATGTGCCAGGAACTACTTTAGTTGTGGGGGAAACCTGTGGGAGAGGGGGGCTTAAGGATCTGAGGGTATGGGAATGGGCTCTGAAGTCAAATACATTCTGAAGAACTTAGTCAGCACCTCATTCCTCCCACCCTCTCAGTTTCATTTGGAGGTTGTAATCAAAAGTCCAGATGAAAAGTATGTCTCAAGAACATCTGAAACTTGTTTCTAGATTGTGCATCTGAAGACCACAACCTCAGAAAGTAGTTCTACAGAAAGTAGTTCTACAGAAAGTAGTTTCATTTTCAATGTGGCACCAAACAAAAGGTCATAATGGCAAAAGGAGTATGTTGGAAGGTGGGCCTGTGTGCAGTCTCAAAACTTTGCATGATGGAGGAAACAGCCACAAGCTTCCAAGTCCGTGAATGAGTGCTTGGAAGTTCTGTGAATAGTAGGAAAGGTCTGTAGTCAAAATGAGAACCCAAAGGCTGTGCCCCTAATACCAAAAGCTCTTAACAAAACATGAACTATTACATCCAGAAAGATCAGGACATTATGAACTACACTTCATTAGTAGTAAAGATGAAATGCCTCCTCCCACAGTGGATAAGTATGCATTTAATTTGGAAAAGGCTTATTTAATAAGTGATATCATTGTCTCCCATTATAAATGAATAATTTCATTTTGTGTATAAAAGTGCCCTTTTGGATTGAGTTTTAATAGTGAAATCTATTAACATTTACTAAGAGGCTTACCTCTTTTAAGTATAGTTAATGTACTTGGATATAGCCAGTTTCTCATTGAGAAGTTTGAGTTTCAAACCCTGAAATAACTACTTGTAATCCCCTCTGTTAGGCAGTTGATGCAACCTGATGCTAACTCAGTTGGTTTGTTCCTTTTTGCCTTCTAATCCTCACCAAACCTAAGCCCTGCCTTCCAACCCTGACTTGGGGCAAACCCTTTCACCAAGAGAAGCAAAGTTAGCACATTAAAATGACATAAGGACTGAAGAGTATCCTTTGAGTAAGGGGATAGGGATGATATAGTCATTTCCATGACTTAGCAGTTTTAGTGGAGTGGTAAGGAGCCAAAGCTGATGTGCTAGTTCCTTTCTCTTCCCATAATGAAATGCCTGAGAGAACTTACAAAAAGAAAAGTTTTTTTTTTTTTTTTTTTGTCTCATAGATTTGGAGGTTCCAGTCTATGATTGATTGGCCCTGCTGCTTTGGGCCTGGGACCAGGGAGCATAGCATTAAGTGGAGCAAACTTGTTTGTATCATGAGCTAGGAGAAGGAGGGGAAGAGGCCCTGGTCCTGTAGGCCCTTTCAAGGGCACTCCTTTACTGATCTAGGGATCTCCCACCAAGACCCCAGTAGCAACATCCTGGGTACCAAACCTTTAACATATTGCCCTATGGGGGATATTCAAGATCCAAACTATAACATCCTGGTTCTAGTGTATACTAGTATCTCATTATAGGTCTAATTTACATATCTTCAGTCACTAATAATGTTGAGTTTTTTAGGCTCTTATTGGTTTTATGAACGCCCTCTTTAACCCAAGTAACTATGACTTCCTTTTCATTTGTAGGATACTTTATTCTGGATGCAAGGTATCTTTTAGATATTTGTGTTACAAATAGCATCTCCCCACACAGCTTGCTTTTCACTCTCTTAATGATATTCTTTGAAAGAATAGAAGTTTTTATTTTGATTAAGAGTAATTTTTCTTTTTTTTTAATTGTAAGTGCTCTTTGATGCCCAGCTTGAGAAATCTTGTCCTAGCTTGTCCTACATTTTCTTCCACATATCTACTATTTTACTTTTCACTTTAATATTTGTGATCCATCATAAATAATTTTTATGTACATGTGAGTTGAGAACAAATTGACATTTTTGTATATAAATATAAAATTTGTTTAACATCATTTTCATTGAAAACACATCTTTCCTTCTTCACTTGAGTTGTAGTGGAACATGTATGATAAACCATCATATATGTGATGGTCTTCTAAGCTGTCCTGTTCCAGTGTTTTATTTTGTTTAGCATTGTACCAATATCAATTCTTAATGAAAACTGGTAGTATATGTTTCCTGATTTTTTCTTCTTGTTCAAAATCATGACTACTATTCTAGGTCATTGGCATTTTCATAATCAATTTATGAATTATTTTTAAACAAATCATCCCACCAACAACAACCTGGGATTGGTATTGTATAAATAACAATATTGACACTTTCATCTTATGGGCATGCTTAAATTTCATTTATTGTAGATATTTTACTATCATTAATTTTTTTTGTTATGTAGAATGTTTTCATTTTTTTCAGTTTCAGAAGTTTTGCTATTTTTTCGGTTGTAGATTTTTTGGGTCAGTTGCAATTGATGTTTTTGATATTTTAAATGCTATTTTTAAAATTTCATTTTTGATTGTTGCTGCAATATACATAACAAATATATTCTGTATGTATGTGTATATATGTACATGTTTTTAAAAAGGCAGCCATATAACCAGTTACCTTGCTAAATTAATTTCTTAATTATAATAGTTTGTTTACTCTTTTGGACTTTCTATGTTTCAGTTTTTACATTATCACAGATAGCATATGTGTCCATAGAAAAAAAGCTTAATCCTTTATAATCTTTATACCATTTTTTACTGTACTGGCTACTATCTAGGATCTCCAGAAGTAGAAAGAGTAGATAGACATCTTTGCCTTTTTCTCCAAATCTAAAGAAAAACTATTTTTTCATCAGTGTGATATGAGGTAAATTTTAGATAATGTCTATTACATTAAGGAAGTGTTTTTAAATCCTAGTTTTCTGAGGTTTATTATCATTGACAGATGTTGAATTTCATTAAATGCTGTTTTGTAACTCTGGGAATGATTCTTCTGTTAATGTGATTGAATTACATGAATTTGATTTTTTTTATTTCCTTAAATTGTGGTGAGATGTACATAACATTAAAATTTGATAACTTAACCATTATTTTATATACAATTCACTGGTGTTAATGATATCCAAATTGTTGTGTATCCAGTACTACCATCCATGCCCAGAACTCTTTTCATCTTGCAAAACCAAAACTCACCACCCATTAAACAACAATTCACCATTCTCTACTCCACTTCCCAGCCCCTAGAAACCACCACTCTACTATCTGTCTTTACAAATATGAATACTTTTTTTGTTTCCTAATATAAGGAGAATCATACAGTGTTTGTCTTTTTGTGATTAGGCTTATTTCACTTAGTATAATAATATCCTTAAAATTTGTCTAATGAATTTATTTTTTCGTGCTATTGGGATTAAACCCAGGGGCACTCTAACATTAAGCTATAACTCCAACCCTTTTTTGAAGACCAGTTTTCTTGACATAGCTGAGGCTGGCCTCAAAGTTTGATCCTTCTGCCTTAGTCACCCAAGTGGCTGGGATTAACAGATATACACTACCGTGACCAGTTATATGGACTTCTTTTGGGATTAGTAAAGCAACTTCACATTCTTGAATTAGATTCCATTCAGGCATTATGTGTTACCTTTTTTATGTACTTTTGAATAAGATTTGTCAAATTTTAGCTTTTTTTGTACCTTTATTTTATTTATTTTTGGGTGGTGCTGGAGATCGAATCCAGGGCCGTGCACAGGCTAGGTGAACACTCAACCATTGAGCCACAACCCTAGCCCCAAATTTTGTACTTTTATATAGGGTTTTGTGTCTGTCCATGTTGTCTTATGTTTCCTTTTTTGGTTTAAAAAAGTTTTAAATTTAACTGAGGCATAAAATTTGTACAACTCTGTGGGGTACCATGGGATGTTT